TCTATCATTAACCCCTATAAGAGAAAGTAAAAGGAACACAATGATTCAGTATTTACGTTTTCTAGAGCAACAATAACTCCGATAGACAGCTTCGGCTCAAGAAGATGAAAAAGACGAAAAGAGACAATATATCAATATCATCAACATAAACCATAGAAATAATAACAACATCATAAGAACGAGAAACGTTTTCTAGAGTGTAGGAAATATACTTCAAAAGAACTCAAAGGTAAATCTTAATCTAGTTTGTCTGAATGTACTCCTGTAGGCCTTAGTCCCAGAAAACTTGACCTACGCTCTTCTTCGCGAGCGCTCCCGTTTTTATGCTCTTCTCTACAGGCACTCCTGCAAGTTCAGAAACTTCCAATATAAATAAAGATAATTATTCTTAAATCTTACCTTATCGGAAGAAAGAAAAAAAAAGAAGAAGAAGAGCAGAATTACTACATAGATTTCTAATGTCAACATCCCTAGCGTAGTGATGTAGATGTTCCAGATAAGGTTTCCTCGCGCCAATGGGAGTGATAAAGGTTGTTATGCACCTAATTAAAGATACCACTTTGTCGAATTTTATGTTGCGTGCTTCTGTTTTTAACTTGTCTTAAAAAAGGAATAATTTGCTCTGTTTGAAAACTATAAAGAATTAGCATTCCAATTGTACTTTTAATGACATTACTCATGTAATGAAAAGACATAAAGCTCTCACCACTCATGTAATTATTTGGCAGTAAGGACAAATTGATACTTTGCAGCACCTTTAACCTATGTGTTTAACATCTTCTGTTACTTCTTAAAGATTCAGTGTGAAAAAAACTTCACATAAAATGAGATGGATTGAGTAGAAAATGTCTCTTAGATTTTGTTCTCCAATTCAAGCATCGTATAAGCAAAACAGGTTATACAAGGTCCAATACGGAAGCTATAGAAGTACTTACTTTATACTAATAACCCATTTAGCCATAAAAAAATATTTCACTTTTTTTCGGAAATTTCCGAAATCAGTGTTTGGCCATGAAAATTTCAAATTTCACTTGAAGTAGAATTTCGAAAATTGAAAAACTCCAAAAGGTGTTTTCAAACTTTTCACTTCACATTGCTCACAAAAATTCAAAAACATCTCCAAATTATATTTATGTCCAAATACAACTTTAATTTTCAAATCCCATTTTCACTTGAAATTTTTTCATTTTTTACGAAATTTCACAATTCTTATGTCCAAATGCCCACTAAGTCACAACTTGGACCCGACAGCAAAATTAACTATACATAATAATAGTACTAACTAAACAAACATCAAAAATTGACTTTGTTCTTCTTTTAATTCTGAGCCTTGTGGCTAGTGGACAACAAACATCCATCATCCGAATTGGTATGAAGAGGCAATCCGATATGATCATTAACTAATCTGGCAACTCCAATGCTCTTCACTCCATGTTCCTCCACACACATAGCAAAACTCATATTTGCACCTGAATCCACAATATATAGAATGAGCCACATGTAAAAATAGTACTAATTGATTAGTTAATTTAAACTAACTCACAATCAATATAAATTAAAAGGAAATTAATCCTCCCACCAACACAAAAGTATAGGATTAAATGACAAATTAACTAACCAGCAGGTTATGTGTATACAGCCATCAGCCTTCTGCACAATGTGTTTGCAGTGAGGGCATTTCATCCATTTGGAATTCTTAGCAAGTTCCTCAACTTTTAAATCTTCTTCTTTGTCTTTTTCTTCCTTTTGAAACTTGTCACAATCAAGTCCAGTGTGCCAAGGGACACAACACGACGCGCAGAACAGCCGTTGGCATGAAGGACATATACACTCAATTATCTCCTCATCATGATCATAAATGAGCAGCTCTGAACAATTTTTATAAGGACAGTAAAATTTCTCGCAAGCAAGAAGACTTGACTCGCTCAATCCCTCTTCCCACCTCGCGAAAACATCTTCTGGAATAATGGACTTACATGTTTCAGGTTCAATTATTGCGCGGCATCTCAAACCTGGGCAAGTTACAGGAAAAATGTTCTGTTGAATCTTGGACTGGGCATGTAAGCCTATGCAGCCGGAACAGAAGGAATGATGAGAGCAGTTGTCGAGTTTGAACATTTCATCTTTTCCTTTTGTGTCCATGCAAATCTCACAGTAACCTTGAGATGATTCAGGGGATTCATGGATTAATGTTGATGATGACATGTGAAGATGGTAAAAAGAGGCTGCAAGAACCTCTTGGAGCTGCAATTCCTCTGCACACTCGTCATCTGATACTGTGAGAGCGCGGAAATCTTCATTTTCATCAAACACTTTTGAAATTATGTCTGCCATGGAATTGATCACTGGTTGGTTAATTAGAAGATTTCTTGGAGATCATCTTTGCAGATTTGTGAGACTATTTAGTTTGGTATATGCAAAGGGTTTTATATTGTCTTTCTATTATTGGATAACAACGCGTATTTATATAAAATAAAAGACAAATTAAGTCGTCTTCATTAGACACTTACCAAGAAAATACTTTGAAAGAAAGACTGAGACTTAGTACGATGGTTTATGTGATACAAGCAAAATGCTAAGCAGTTGACGTTTGCCAATCAAATAAGTTCCTGTTCAAGTGACATGTTTTTTTT